AGCTATAATTGGATAAATTCGGCATATGAAAACACCAAAATCAATGATTTTTTTTCAGTGGCTGTGTGACCTTGTGTCTGACACATTCATATGCAAATGACTAATCTGTGAAACAAATAGGGGCGGAGACAAACCACTCAAATGTTTGGAAACACTCATTGTGTGTCAGATAGCTACTGATAACACATCCTAACATTGCTTTGTCTTGAGTTTATCTTTGAAACTTATAGGCACACAGATTAAACCTGTGTTGTTGATTTTGGAAAACACTACTGAGGCTGCCTTGCTTCCCTTCAGAAAATCTACATTTTAACCAACTTACATGACATTCTATGTTATGTTGACTTTATCACATGAAAGTTTATAATGCATTTCATCAATTAATAAATAAATGTGAAAATCGTAATTTTCAACACAAATAATAGTCTCGCTACCTTAAGATGTCGCTAATGACTATTATAAATTCAAAATGGCAAAGCCTTGGGGATTTGTATACAGTAATCCAGGACATAAAAATCTGGGGCACTCTCAATTACACTTGACAGTTTTTCTTTGTTTTTATGGAGGTGATAACTGCGCATTTGTTTTGGCACGCAACAGACTAGTGTCGTGAAAACAGGAAATCAACAATGACAAGAGAGATTTGATAAATCAACGTTTCGCTATTAAGTCATTTTACCACACTTCGCTAAAATTACATGTCACTTTTTCAATATGTTTTACAGTATGTTCATATTCATGAAAAATTGTTTTTCAGAAGACATTGCTTTCAACAGGACACATAACAGGTCAAGAGAATACATAAACGGCTATTCTATTTACCTATCGTTGTGGTTGTGACCTCTTCTCTCTCTTCATAGTAAAAGTCGACATTACACATATGACCACGACAACAACAAAAATAAAGGTCGTTCTCGTCCACGCTTCCGGCACATCTTGCGGACTCGCCACATTGACCATCACCACTGTTGATCCAACATCCCTGTTTTTTTAACTCGATTACACCAGAATTATTCCCCCACAACGAAAAGCAATGTTCAGAGGGACCAATACGATCATATTCACATTGCTGTGATGCGTTACATCCATGTTGGTCTTTGTCACAGTCTTCTGTATTGTAATATTTACACCATGTATTCTCTTGACTGTCGACAAGAATACCTACAAAATACAAATGAAGCAAGTTCATTTATTTCCAGATGATCCTTTTAGAACACATTGCTACGAGCCTTAGTGATGTCTATAAATCAGTAAAGTATGATAATCATATTTCTGCCACCAGAGGGCTCCCTTTGAGAACGCCACATGTTTAGATTCTCAGTGATTGATATCAATAAACCACAAGTATGCAAATCTGGGGCAGGTTTGTTTTTTCCAATGACAATTTTGATTAGCCAATCTGATCTTGATTGTATGCTTGATTTTGTTCACTTATGATGGTTACTGGTAATCACAACAAAAATTTGGTGATTAAAGATGGTTGACAGACGATGAACTGAGAGCAAATGTCATTTTAGTTCAGCCGTGCACACTTAAGTGAGGGCACACTGACTTGAGCTGGGGGAACACTGGAATAAAGACGCATTGACTTAATTTGGGAGATGTTTAGCTGGGGGAACACTGGAATAAAGACGCACTGACTTAATTCAGGAGATGTTTAGCTGGGAGAACACTGGAATAAAGACGCACTGACTTAATTCGGCAGATGTTTAGCTGGGGGAACACTGGAATAAAGACGCACTGACTTAATTCGGGAGATGTTTAGCTGGGTGAACACTGGAATAAAGACGCACTGACTTAATTCGGCAGATGTTTAGCTGGGGGAACACTGGAATAAAGACGCACTGACTTAATTCGGGAGATGTTTAGCTGGGTGAACACTGGAATAAAGACGCACTGACTTAATTCGGGAGATGTTTAGCTGGGGGAACACTGGAATAAAGAAGCACTGACCTAATTTGAGAGATGTTTAGCTGGGAAGACAAAGTGAGGGCACACTGACATAATTTGGAGGATGTTTAGCTGTGCAGACTGAAGTGAAGACATACTGCCTTATTTTGGAAGATGTTTGAGCTTGGAAAACACTGAAGTTGATACTTTGACTTAGATTTCAATGAGGATTTCAGCCAGGATTTTTTCAGACTTTACCACCTAACTAGAGTGTCTGCTAAGTTAGAACGAAATCAGCCCAGCCAAAATAAAATCACAGAAAGTTAATACGTGAAGACAGAAAATCACAGACACATACACACAAAAGTGATTAAAAGGGCAATCCTAGCAGAGTGGTTTAACAATAGATTAAATATCTAAACTCATCTTCACATTAGGGCAGTGTGTCAAAGTATACCAAGAGGGTCACTGACCAGTTATGTCACCTTGATGTAACCATGGCAACAATGACATATTCCTAACTCAACAGGTGTGGCATTCCGCTTAAGATAAGATAAGTTCAGCTCAAATTCACTGAAAACATCTATACATCATGTCTTGACATATTTGCTTTCACCAAGAGTACAAAGTACTTCAATGCTGGCTGGCAACTGGCTTTGCTTTTTAACGAGAATTTACAAGTGTTTACCTTTTCACCACCACATCCTTCTTTTCATCACAAATTCACAAAATAGTCTAATTTATACTTTTCGAAAGACTGGGGCAAAAATAGCCAAATTTTTTGAGTAAATATTGTTAATTGACTCAAATTTCTCCGTTGGAACCAGAATTAGGTTTTATTTTCAAAAATATTGAGAACAAGCCATGCATGGCACAGTCCCTGTTAGTTATCAAATTTAAGATATATAGTTATGTTTATAGTAATATAGCGTGAATATAACCATGTCAGGAATATGATTTTTTTAACATTAAAATGATTGACATTTGTATCTGATCGTCAAACAAGTACTTGTCCATATTGAGAGATATTGCTCTGGAACAGCATTCAAAATCAGCTATAATTTGTTGCGTGATACAGTCTTTTTACACAAGGCGCTCATAGTTGCTATTTGAATTTCTCAATGCATACAAATTATTCTTCAAAAAAACTTGTATTGTACATAATATTTGGAGAAACAGAAGTACACAATTCTTGAAGTCGTAATTTTGTCAGCAAAGCTCCATTGCTTCACCATTCATAGTGACGTATGTATGAAATTTACACTAGCCAGTCGATGGAAGATCAAATCATAACAAATTATACGTTATCAGTTTTAATTTGGAATTATGAATTTATTAAATCCATCAAAATTTGCATTTTTACGTTATTATAGTTTGATGCAAAATGCAGGTTGCTATGAAATATGGAATGGTTCAAAACACTCAATTGGGGAATGAGTTGACCTGCCATGATCTTTGACTCGATAGGTCGAGAATGTTCCATGTTAGTTATCTAATATATTTTACTGATTTTTACTAAAATTTGTCATATTTAATTTTGTATTAAAAAACAGTTTTTCAAAACTAATTATTTAAAGGTAGTTAAAATTTTAGAGTTTTTACGGTATGCATATTAGATTACAGAGAACACGATATACTTGTTAAAGTTCTATGCTTGGATGACACGTTACATACAGGACATCTCAGAAATATTTTATCTTTCCAACCTAGTGACGCACGCAGATTCTATGACCCCTTTATCAGCTTTCAAATACTCGGTGCACGTTGTATTTCAGCCTGTTCAACAAGATCTGAAACTTCAAGCTGTACATGGAGGGAATTTAAGCAAATTTAACATGTAGTTTCCATGATTACGAAAAATACTTTGCAGAAACGTCAGTGTGTCAACTATGCAGCAAAGTCATTATGTACGTTAATGTAATTCTCCATGGTTGTGCAGTGTTCTCGTTACATTCGGCCAAGTTTTATATTTTGTTTTATATTATTTCTCCCACGAGACAAACTACATATCACAAAAATGTGAATACAAGTGACAATACATAAATGTAGAATAAACATCAATGAAACAACTTTTGATGCTATTTCACGTGCTAAACATATATTTAAGGAAACTATCTCCATTATAGAGGAACAAAATACAAAATTTCTTTGTCTAGTTGCATATGGATGTGTAATTGTCTCCTACTTTCTTAACTAATGGAATTGTGCCACGAAGAGTTGACAAGCTATATAAACTGTTCTCGGTTACAGACAATTTGTCCCCAGTTAACTTTGTTTAGGTTGCCAACGAGCACCTTAGATATATTTTTTAATCACCATTGATTAAATTTAATTGCCATGGCAACTGAAATGATTACAACCTAGAGGAATGTACTGAGACTGTACAGGTAGTGTAAGAAGGTAAATTTTTTGCTGCAAACATATGAACAAATTAGTTTTCAACTTTTATGACAGCGAGGCCAAGAAAAAAATTATTTGGTTCCTATGACCTAACCTACTGCCTAGCCCATATTTTTTGGCCATATTTGAGAAAATGTAACAAAATTTTGCTAGCCTTTGAATAAGAACAAAAAATCGAAACTTTGCAAAAATGGATAATGTTAACAATCTTAAACATGATTCATAACACTCTTTTTGGTAAAATATGAAAAAAACAACCATGAAAAAATATTTGTATATTAAAGCATGTTATAGGAACCACAACATTGTTTTTTATTTAGCCTGGAGTCAAAATTGAGTAAAATTCGCAGATACTCGTACAGTACAGTTAAGGTGTAACTTACAAACTGGATTTCAGCTAGCATTGCCTTTTCACAGAATTTAGTATCATTGTCAACAATAATTATTCTTTGTAGTATTTTCCTACGTTACTATTACGAGGCACAATTTAGATATGTGGCAGATTTTAAAGCAAGCTGTACTATTTTTATCCCAATAAGACGTCAGAATTTACCAAGCGATGGATTTTTCACCCACAAACAGGAAACATGAGAGGGGATTAGACAGTCGCGAGACAGATTAGTTTTACCTTACTTACAAACAAAAATGTATACCAAGATGCGCCATCAGATTTTGTGTTATCACGTATGGTGGAAATACAAACAAAGTAGAACTGCTTGATGTCAAATAAGTTTTTTCTGTGTCACTGATGTGGAAAATAGGAGGGATATTGAAAATACAAATTGCACTTAGCCCGTATTAAGCAGGAATGTTATGCAAAACAGGAATGTAATGTAAAGCTAATGTAAAGAGAAGAATCATCAAAAGTCGCCACATACAAATATTGCAATTGTGTATCTTGGATGAGACGATATAAGAATCCCTATAAAAACTACAACAGGGCTTGAACAAAACTTAACAATTCAGGGATTGCGTTAACCCCATATTTTGCTTCCCGGACTCCAATTATTGAAGAGGGACCCAGTTTTTCAGGCAAGCTGGGGTCCAATCTCTGATAAAGTTATCCAGGGTCAAATTTCAATTTCTTAAAATTTTGTAAGTGAGACTCATCTTGCCGAGACACTAGCGCAAACGCTGCTAAATAGCTTAGCTTATTAACTACTGCCAGCGCTTGACAGTAAGTGTACTCCCCTATTGCCAGGGCCAAGTAAAAATGCCATTCGGACAAATGAACAGTAATTCACTTGCCTCAACAGATTACAGTAAACATATACTGTAAAACATGTTGAAAAAAGCGACATGCAATTTTAGCAAATTGTGGTAAAATGATGTAATAGCGAAATGTTAATTTAGCAAATCTCTCTTGTCATTGTTGATTTCCCGTTTTCACAATACTTGTCTGTCGCTTGCCAAAACAAATTCGCAGTAATCACCTCCATAAAAACAAAGAAAACCTGTAATTAGGAAGCGTCCCAGATTTTATGCTCCAGATTACTGTATACAAATCCCCAAGCCTTGGCCATTTTGAATTTATAATTAGCGACATCTTGAATTAGCGAATCAGTTCTCTCGCTAAATTCGCTAAAAAGACATGCTCACGAAAAAGACATGTCTTAGGAAACTTTTGCATTTTGGACAAGTGATTTTAAAAGTTAATGTCAATCGCTGGCTTACATATCTGAATTGTGCACAGTAATCTATCTAAATATGTCTCATATTTGTATCATATGTAAATACTAAATGCAGAAACGTCAGTGTGTCAACTACGCAGCAAAGTCATTATGTACGTTAATGTAATTCTCCATGGTTGTGCAGTGTTCTCGTTACATTCGGCCAAGTTTTATATTTTGTTTTATATTATTTCTCCCACG